TTTGCTTGCTTTTTTTATTCAAAAGTTTCTGTTTTGAAAATTTTTTACCAACTTTTATATCAACTGCTAGTCAAAGCAGTCAGGTAGACATTGAAAAAGAACTACTAAAAAATAGGAGTTATGTAAAAAGTTATATTATAAAGATCATTTAGTATAGTAGCATTACGTATTCTTTAATAGTGTTCATACCAGCGGTTTAAACATGTCAATATGAGACTATTTTAATTAAATAGTTCTATGATTTTTTATAATATTAAGTCTTTTGTAATTGAGCCGTTTAAACAAAACGAACTAATTTGTTTCTAAGATGTTTTATACTCAATGCAACTTAGGCATAGGACAAACCAAGTCGTAAAAAACTGTTACAAAAACAAAACGAGTTTGAAAATGAAATAATTTGTTTATACAGTTTACCGCCTCTGTTTTTTAATTGTTTACGCATTCTGAATGGAATAAGTTGTTTTTTCAAGATGGCCGAAGAAGTCCCAAGTATTTTAAAAAATGATAGTTAATACCGAAAACAGTTTTTTGAATGGGGCTAAAAGTTATGATTATTTATGCAAAAGCGACTTATGTAGAAAAATCAACACTACCAAAGTTTATCTGAATCTAACGTGACATAATTGTTAAATATTCTCATTTAGGTGCGGTATTGAAAATAATAACTTAAGTTTTCATTAAAAAATGGTTTTTCATGGGTAATTTTCCCAAATAATGTCTGATTGTAAATGTCCAGTTACATTCATTAAAAGCAAGCACCAATATGTGCTTTTATAACAAAATTAAATCCATAGACTTATCTATAGCCAAACCCCAAGGTACTTTATGTTGAAAATTACATCTTTTCTAAATAAAACTACGCTTGACAATTTGTTATAGTCGCATTACTTTTACTAGTTTATAATAGTTGTTAAAATATTTATTCCATACATACCAAATATGTCACTTTTTGGTGAAAAAACTTACATACATTGTATTTGAAAAAAGTTATATTTTTTTTCGAAAAAACGTACACCGTGCCTTAGTTGCATTGAGTACTTTGGTATGTTGTGACAGATGTTGCGTTTTTTTGTTTGTTTTTGGCGTCAAAACTTATTTGTTACAAAAAAGTTAGACAATTAAACTTCGCTTTTTTTATTGAATTTAAATAAAAACTTTTATTTAACAGTTCTTGTTGTTGAAAAAAAAAGGTTAGGCAACTTTGCCTCCTCAAATTTTCAAAATTACAGTAAATAAAATTGGTGAAGCTAAACCGATGTTATTGTCTTTGACTTGATTCTTTTACAAGAATCTATCTTAATATGTTTGCTTCATTTGGAATGAGCGTGGTGATTCTTTATCCAATTTTTTCTAGCAATTCTTTACCCATAAAACTTTTTTTTAGCTATTTGCTTATTTTTTCTCTTGTTTATATCCTCTTAATTGATTTTGTGCTGAGAAATTTATGTCTCCATTTTTCTTATAATAAATTTTTGAGCCCTCTTTTTTGCATTTTTAGCAAAGTCTTGGTTGCAGGAAGAAAAAACTATGCCCTAACACAAAAAGTTTCTGCTCAATGAATCTAAGATACACTAACCTATTTCTTAGAGGCCTCTGCATAATTATTCTTCACACCGTACTCACTCTGTCTTTAAGTTTTTATCGTGTGCTCTAAGTTTTTATCGTGTGTTCTTTTGTTTGGATTTGTATGTGCATCCAGTTTATCTTCTTGCATTCTTTCTTTTGTATTTTTAGCCATGCTTTGATGAATAAGAAGGTCCCTTCTAACAGTGTTCTTTTCTTCACCCTCGGAAAGACTTTTAAAAAGATTTTAAATAGATCACATTTTTTTACTTCTATCGGATTGTGGATGGTGAAAATGTAACTTGAATTTTGTATTGAATATGTGTTAAAATACAAAAAGTAAAAGTGGGGTGCGATCATTTCTATTGTAATTGCAAACAAATTTCTCTAACATCGTTGACATTCATAAAGTTGGAGGCAAATAACTTGTGTATCTTTTGGCTATAGTGGAGTTTTTACGTGGGAATTAAGCAAAATCGTAGATGTACCAAATTTTTACGGGGGAAATTTATTGCAACCACATATTCTTTTAACAAAAATTTTTGTTTCAACTAATTTACTTTTTGTTGTAACATATTCTTGTCCTGTTGACCTCTTCTGTTTTAGAATATTTCTTACGACTATGTCTGTCTGTCTTTATTTTTCTACTATAAAAAGTCTGGGTTTCTTCTCGTACTTCCTAGGAGATGATGTCATTCTCTCCTACTCCTCCAACATGGTTAAGATTTGAATCTGCAATAAAAATGTTAAATGAAGTTTTTGTACTAATAAGAAAAGAATTCCTAACATAACAAACTAAATGACCCTAGGCCATAACAATAGAGCCTACAAATAACCTTGTGCATGTAGGCTTATCTATTTTCGGACAATTTTGTATATACCATCAACTTCTGTTAACATAGGAATAGGTTTTGGGTTTTCTTTAACATACTGATTCCAATTATTCGAATCTGCAATAAAAAATGCGTGTCAGTTTTAAAAAAAACATAAAAAAGAATACGTGCCAAAACAACACTGTGGCTAGAAACTATAATATTATTTAATAAAATCAATGAAAAGTATATCTTGATGCTGCATTAACTATATATATATATACCTTCACTAACACCAGCCGCTAAAGACAGGTTGTAATCTGCTCCTGAATCACCACAATCACTTTCCATTTGAATGTCTTCCAAATTTATTTTTGCCATGTTGATAGGGATAGGCAAACTTTTCCACAATTCAAATGTTATTTTTCTGTTAAAGTAAATTTTTACGGAAAAAAAAATATATATATATATATATATATATTTTTCCGTAAAAATTATATATATATATATATATATATATATATATATATATATATATATATATATATATATATATATATATATATATATATATATATATATATATATATATATATATATATATATATATATATATATACTTTGTACGGAAACTTTTGTTTTTGTGACTTATCTTACAACTCGTTAAGTCACAAAAACAAAAATTTTTTAGTTAATTCAATTTCCTCGTTCTATATACTTAAATCTATCATTTTTTGAATAAAATTTTTTGTTGCTTAAAATGGACAAAGTAAATATCAATTTCTGTTGATGCGCAACTAAAAGTAGTTTAGTTTTTTGTTGTTTTCTCAAAATCAGTTTACTCGGACTTAGCGCGTTTTGCAAATGGGCTCCTCATATATATACATATATGTACATACAGTTTGAAAGGTTTTAGGTTTGTTCATTTGCTTCTAAAACACTCAAAAATAAATTTTTAGCTTATTTCGAGTACAATAACCCGTGTCGACTTGCATCAAGTCATGTCCATACAAGTTACGCATTAGTTGCCTTTACTTGCATTATTTATTAAAAGAGTGGATATACTCAAAGTGGTTTTTAAAATGATGCAAAATTAATTGAAAATAGATAATTATCTTGATAATTTGATAATAATTGATAATAGTAAATAAATAATAATTATCTATTTACAATAATTGTAAATAGATATTTTTATCAATTTTGCATCATTAAATAGAATAATAAACTTGCTTTAAACAATTCCATGCTTTTAGAAAACCCTGATTCAGTTATTCTCGCGATTAACGCATTGTTTTACATTTAAAAAACGGCTGTGGAGTTAATTAGCAAAAAAAAATTTTTTTAGTTGGTGACGTGAATTATTAAATTACAGGCGCAAAGTTAAAGTCTTAAGGTCAAGTTCTTGCAGTAAATTTTTTAACATTCGCGAAGTTAATCGACTGTTAGTAAAATTAAAGCACCATCTTGACAATTTTCAATCAATTTTGAATGTCGCTTTATGCTAAGCTCTAAGCTGGTTTTTCACATATCTAAACGTTGTGCACTTATTAATTAAGTCACTAATAGTTCTTAATGCCATTCCATTCGTTTCTTTTATCAACCTAAATGTTTTAATATTTCAATAACTAATAGCTATTTCAATAACTAAATTGCGTTGATATACCTAAAACTATTGACAATATACCTAATACTATTAACAAAAAACATACATTTCTCAAAAAAATATCAAAGCATCTTGAAGAAATTTTAATTTATCGATAAAATAACTATTTGACAAAAATGAGAAAGTTTAGTTGTTTGACTAAAAGCTTATTTAAAACCATGATTTGTTGATTATTTTAACAACTTATATTACAAATTCTATTTTTCCATTTCCTAAAATTCATAAAATCGGTCAATTACGTTTTCATTAGGAAAGGCGCCTATGATGGCATACTTAACTTTGAAGCTTCATTATTCTGTATCCTGAAGACCAATAATAAAAGTTTTGATATGGGTACATTCCTTGTTACATGTAGAACAATAATAACCCTCGGAGTTTTCATCAGTTTTTGTTTTTTTTATGTTATTCCTATTTTAAAAAAGCACAAGTATGCCATCATAGGCAACTACTACTCCTATGATGGCATAAGGGAAGATGGGGCTGGTTAGAATCAAGGGTAACTTGATGATTATATTCAACCTTAGAGTCTTTTCTCAGAAAAGCCAGAAATTACTCGGAATCTTTCTAATTTACCAAGTCATGCTACACAGCAGCATTGTAAAGTTTTGCGCATGCGCATAGGATATATTGCATTTTATGTATTTTTTGGACCAAAAAAAAAAACTTTTGGAGAATAGCTTTCTTTTTACTTTACTTAAAAATAAGTTTTTCTTATGAAAAAAAGGTTTTCCCAACTCGTCAATATTGCAACACACCCAACTCGTCAGTATCCCATCATGGGAAGAAGTCATTATTTTCATTAAAACAAGCTGTGTCTGCCTTGTTCAAAAGGTAAAATTAAAGTTATTATTCCACTAAATGCAAAAAACTTGGATATAAAATGTATGAAAGTTTCCTTTCTGCACAAATGATAATAAAATCACAATCTTAAATATATGAAGGGAATAAAACTAAAACAGCAC